AAACTGCATCAAAGAAAAAAGTTAGATTACATGCTTTTGCGATTTCCCCCTCAAGTATTTAGTTGGCAACTGCTTAGCATCATGTTTAACCTACACACTTAAATGCATCTACTCCTCACTTACTGGTATGGACAGTTTCCAAAGACCATGCCATTATGCAAAAAAATGTGCATGATTCAGAAATGAAGGATGACCACATCAGATCACCAAATGGAAGATTACTGCAACCTACATAACTGCCAAACCATTGAGAAGTATGGCACCACCAAGTTGACAAATAACCATTATAACTAAGGTTTCTCCTGGCTCACACCTCAGCACTCATTACTGCTAGATGTACATTGTTAATGTGCAGAAGAGTGGGATAGTAGATTTTTTACTATTGTCATAAATATGAAGTGTCAAATAATAAGATAGTCAATAAGTGAGTAGTTAAGTGTGGTTATGGTAAATTTAAATGAGACAGAAAAATGAAAATATGATGCTTCTGTTTTTCAGGGCCTTTTCATCTCTCCACACTTTTATCTAGTGTGTTTTAAATGTACAGCATTTTTTTTCTGTGTTCTTGCCACTTTCATTGCATGATTGGGTTTTATCTTTCAGCTTCCTCTATGGGATTTCTGAATGGCAATTAACTAAGTTCTTGCTAAATGTACTGCTTTTAAGATCAGCATTGTCTATGTGCCAATTGAAAAAAGCTAAATACTCCAAGTATAAATCAGATGGGATTCACATCTTCATGATGTGAATCAACATATGAGGCAAAGTAATCCTTTTTTTTGAAAATGCTTGTAGTGTGGCATCGCTAGAGTGGGTGTCACTTAGCATGGTAACTCAAGGTGCCACATCCCCTCCACCACATGGACCTCCTCTCATGCCAGACCATACAGAATCCTTAGGAAAGTTTATTATCAATTATGATCATAGAGCTAAATATAATAAACACAGTTCTAAGTTGCTTAACTGTAATATTTCTTAGAGTATATGAATAATAACTTGTTTTATAAAATCTTTTTACATTGAATTACAGCATTTTTAGTAAGTAAATTGTTGATTTAGTTGCTTCTGACTCATAGTGACCCTGCAAAGGGTTTCTGAAGAGTGACTGGTGAGCTTAAACTGCTGACTTTGCATTTCAAACCTTCCTTGCAGTCCAGTGAATTAACATGCAGCAACACAACATGACTCTTAAGTAGAAGCCTTATTTTGTTGTTGCTTTTCTCCTTTTCCACTAATTACAACTTCAATGAAGTTATTAACATAGGTTTACAAATACTAATTAATACCATACTGATGTTTTAACATGAGAAAATTTGAAGCTATCAGTGACTATGAAAACACCAGAGGTGATATAACAGCAGCACATGCTTATAGTGTATGCGGACAAAACCACATGATTCCAAGCTTCCCTGTATTGGCTGACAGCTCTGACCGAGCACTCTGGAACCTTCAGAAAACAAATTAGCATAGAATTTTAGCTGTGTGAATATATTGATACATGTGAGCTGGGCTTATGAAAAATGTTTTCATTGGTATTGTTATAACTAGCTACAGGGATATTTTCATAAAGTAAGTTTCTGCTGAAATGCTGCAAAAATATTTATAGACAGTCATTTTCTTGTCACCTGTTCTGTCACCAGGTGCCGTTTACAAACCCCCCCCCATGTCCATACCTCAGATGATGTCAATTATTGTAATAATACAGTAACGAAGTCCTGTTTAAAAAATTTTATGATAAAGACAGCGCTTATAGAAAAAGTATTAAGATGCCATGTTTTGTAATATAATTCCAAGTTTTTATAGTTTTTTTTTGTTTGTTTGTTTTGTTTTCATTTTGGGCACCTATAATTATACTGTTCTTGTAAATGGTAAACTATGTTTATTTATTTATAATTTGCAACCCAAAATTGGCAAATTATAGAGAATAATAATATATAAATATTCAAAGGGAAGAATTTTTCCTATTGTAATTGAAAAAAAGCATTACAGATTTGCTTGGAAATGAAAGACAAACTATAGAAATACTTTCCTCTTCTACATTTTCTTCCTGACAAATCGTATTAGTCGTTGTTTCTTTATATGGACTAGATCACTTTTTTGTGTTGATTTAGTTCATAGCTATGAGTCAGAACCAACTCGAAGGCACTTAACAACAACAACAACCTATTGATGAAGACCCCTTTCCCCATCCCCCATCCTTCCTTAGAAGAGAAACAAGGGTGGGTCTGTTGGGAGACTCTTTGGAAATGTGGTGTTTGATTCGTGATATAAAATCACTTAAATATCAAAGAGATCTTTGAATCCATGAAATAAAGGAATTAAGCTCTGTTGGGCCAGTAAGTGGTATTTGGCAATGTTTTTGTTATTGTTAAGTACCATGGAGTTGGTTCCAACTCATAGTGACCCATAGGGTTTCCAAGGCAGTAAATCTTTATGGGAGCAGAAAGCCTCACCTTTCTCCTATGGAACAGCTGGTAGTTTTGAACTGCTGACCTTGTGGTTCACAGCCCGATTCATAACCACTATGTTACCAGAGCTAACAAAGGCTAAATATAGAAAATTAAGGTACTGGTATTTCTGTATTGTTTTTATTCTCATGAGCTTCAGAGTTTCTATTTGGAAGTAACAATTCAAATTTCTAAAATTCAATTTCTGAGAGTAATTAATAGAAATAAAAAGTCTTTCAGTCTAATTTAATGAGTGATTTTTAAAATAAATAGGCAGAACAGTGAAAGTATATTTATTAAAATATAACAACGCATGAAAAAAATAGATTGCTACATTTTAACTGCTATTCATAAGGTTTTCAGTGACTTAATATTTGGAAGTAGTTTATCTCTCCTTCTTCCTAGTCTGTCCTAGTCTAGAAGCTTAGCTGAAACCTGTCCAGCATGGGTTACCATGCTAATATTTAAAATATAGGTGGCATAGCTTCCAGAATCACAGCAACATGAAAGCCACCAAAGTATTACAAATTGATATTATGAATAACAGTGGAACACTGTCAGCACCAGAATATTGAATATTGGTAAAGAGCACCAGAAGATTTTCAGATATAGCACTTGAAGATGAACACCTCAGGGTGGAAGTCACTCCCAATATGACTGCAGAAAATCCGCCTCTGCAAAGAAGAGTTGACCATGATGACATGAATGAAGCAATGCTTTCAGGACCTTCATTTGCTGATGGAGCATAATTCAAAATAAGGAGAAACAGCTTTAAACATCCACTAATAATTGGAACATGGAATGTTCAAAGTATGAATGTAGAAATATTAGAAGTTGAAATAAGAAATGGAATGCATAAACTTTGATATCCTTAGCATTAGTGAGCTGAAATGGTCTGGTATTGGCCATTTTGAATCTGACAATCACATGGTTTACTATGCCAGGAATGACAAATTGAAGAGGAATGTCATTTCATTCATCATCAAAAAGAACATTTCAAGATATATCTTGAAGTACAACACTTATCTGTAATGGGATAATATCCATATATCTGCAAGGAAGACCAGTTAATAAAACTAATATTAAAATTTACGCATCAACCACTAAAGCCAGTAATGATGAAATTGAAGAATTCTACCAACTTCTTCTGTCTGAAATTGATCAAATTATAACCAAGATGTATTGATAATTACTGGTTATTGGAATGCAATGTTTGGAAACTAAGAGGAAGGATCAGTAATTGGAGAATATGGCCTTGGTGATAGAAACAATGTTGGAGATCACATGATAAAATTTTGCAAGACCAATGACTTCTTCATTGCAAATACTTTTTTTAAACAACATAAAAGATGACTGCACATGGACTTCACCAGTTGGAAAACACAGAAATCAAACTGACTACATCTGTGAAAAAAAGGTGATGCAAAAGCTCCATATCATCAGCCAAAGGCCAGCGGCAGACTGTGGAGCAGACCATCAATTTCTCAGATGCAAATTCAGGCTAAAGCTGAAGAAAATGAAAACAAGTACACAAAAGCCAAAATATGACCCTTAACATTTCTCACCTTAATTTAGAGATCATCTGAAGAACAGATTTGATGCATTAGATACTAAAGGCTAAAGACCAGAAGAGTTGTGAGATGACATCAAGAAGAAAGGAAAAAAGCAAAAGGTCGTTAAGAAAACAAAAAAGAAGGAAAAGCCCAAAATGTATGTCAGAAGAGACTCGGAAACTTGCTCTTTAAAGTAGAGATGCTAAAGTAAATGGAAGAAATGAGGAGATAAAAGGGCAGCTCAAGAAGACTATAAAATCAAATATAATGAAATATGCAAAGACTAAATAAAGTGAAAAACTGATCAAATGAAAAAATCTTTTCATGTGCCTCTGGAAAAAAAAAAAAAAAGTACATATCCATAGACTTTTTTCTTAAAATAGGAAACTGATTTGGGCTTTCTGCTCTTTAATTTAAAATGTTACCACTTATCTGCTACAAATTGAGTATTTTCCTTTCAAATGAGTTTGGGGAATAATATTGGTTTATTTGCAATTAAAATTGTATTCTATGTAATATTATATAGAATTGTAGATACTAAATTCAATGAGTGATTTTAACCCATAAAAATTATTGCTTTGAAATCAACTCACTTATTGATTATCAGTGTAAGGTTTTCCAACCATTATCACTCACAATATGATGAGTAATTATTATAAATATGTACATACCATGTACATAATAAAATGTGCCAAGACCTTAAGTTAGAAGTATGAAATGGAAGCACATGTTTAGCATTCAACCCTCAACTTGAATATTTAAGATTCTAAGGGCTAAATTTTGAATGATGCAAAAAGTATCAAAAAGAAGATTTAAGGAAATACATAGTAACTCTACCAAGGAGAAATGGATGATGTCCAACCATTTCAACAGATAGCATATGATCAAGAGCCATTGGTACTGAAGGAAGAAGTCCAAGATGCATTGAAGGCATTGGCAAAGAACAAGGCACTAGGAATTGATGAAATAAAAATTGAAATCTTTCACCAAACTGATGCAATGCTGGAGGCATTCATTCATCTATGCCAAGAAATTTGGAAGACAACTACCTGGCCAACTGATTGGAAGAAATCCATATTTGTGCCCAATCCAATGAGAGATGACCAAACAGAATGCAGAAATTGTTGGAAAGTATCATTAATATTGCATGAAAGTAATATTTATAAAGATAATTAAAAAAAAAAAACAACTGCAACAGCACATTGATAGGGAACTTCCAGAGTTTCAAGCCCTATTCCACGTTGTGACGTGGAATGAGGAATATCATTGCTGACATCAGATGGATTTTGGCTAAATGCAGAGAATATCAGAAATATTTACATGGGCTTTATTGAATATACAAATGCTTTTGACTGTGTAGATCATGACAAGCTATGGACAACACTGCAAAGTATGAGTATTTTGTTCATGAAGAATCTGTATATGGACCAAGAGGCAGTTGCTTGAACAGAACATGGGAACACTGAATGGTTTAAAATTAAGAAAGGTGTGCAACAGGGTTGTATTCTTTCACAATATTTATTCAACCTGTATGCTGAGCAAATAATCCAAGAAACTGGGTTAATATGAAGAAAAACATGGCACCAGGATTGGAGGAAGACTCATTAACAATCTGCAATATGCAAATGATACCTTGCTTGCTGAAAGTGAAGAGGACTTAAATACTTACTGATGAAGATCAAAGACCACAGCCTTAATATGGGTTGAACCTCAATGTAAAGAAAACACAAATCCTCACCATTGGACCAATACATAACATCATGCTAAATGGCACTTAACACCAATAGCAGCAACAAATGGAGAAAAAATTAAAGTTATTAAAGACTTCATTTTGCTTGGATCCACCATCAACTCTCATGGAAGCAGCAGTCAAGAAATAAAACATCATATTGCACTAGGCGGATCTGCTGCACAAGACGTTTTAAAGTGTTAAAGAGCAAAGATAACAATTTGAAGACCAAGGTGAACCTGACCCAAGCCATGTGAAAGTTGGACAAGGAAGACTGTAGAAGAATTGATGCTTTTGAGTTATGGTGTTGGAAGAGAATATTGAAAGTGCCATGGGCTGCCAAAAGAACCAATAGATCCATTTTGGAAAAAGTACAGCCAGAATGCTCCTTGGAGACCAAGATGGCCAAACTTTGTCTCTTATACTTCGGATATATTGTCAGGAGGGACCAGCCACTGGACAAGTGTTTGGTAAGGTGGAGGGTTAGAGAAAAAGAGGAAGACCCCCAACAAGATGGATTGGTCAAGTGGCAGCATTGATGAACTCAAGCGTGGCAACAGTAGTGAGGCTGACCCAGGATTGGGCAGCGTTTCATTTTGGTGTGCATAAGGTTGCTATGCGTCAGTATTGACTCAATGGCACCTAACAACAACAACAATAGGGCAGCAGTGAACTGACTTCAGTCACTTTGTTCTTTTGTTAAGTGTCATGGATTCTGTTCTGACTCACAGGGACCCTGAATAGGGTTTCTGAGGAAATACTAGTGAACTTGAACGGCCAGCCTTGCAGTTCAAACCAATCTTGGAGTCCAGTGCATTAACCCACAGCATCACACCATTACTCTACACCAGAACTTCAGTCACTATCTAACTTATTTCATCTAATCTATAATTTCATTGATTGGAAAATGCCTAACGATCACTGAGATATTAAAATAAAATTCTGTGGTTGAACCATATAATTCCTCTCACATCCATTCTGCAAATTTTGTTTTTCTTACATATATAGGGAAACTGTATACAATCTCTCTATTGTTAATTTGAATATTCAAGTTCTGTTAATTCCATTTTATAAAGCAAAATATAGAAACACAGAAGTTGATTAACGGCTAAACATCTATCCATGCATGCATCTGTCGAGTATTTTCATTACCCCTGCTCTTTGTCCTATGTTTATCCTATGTTCAGATTACTCAAGTGGAAAACATTACACATCCAAATTTTGAGTTTGATAAATTGTATGCACTCACAGAAACTTAGTACTAAATGAAGCCTTAAACTTAAACACACGTACATATATACATCCAAACATCCAAAACACATAAAATGAATTTCCTTTTCAACACATCAAGAATTTCACCATATATTTGAAAAGAAGGTGCCCTTTGATGCTTGGTTCCCTTCATGTTTTCCTCTTTCCAGCAAAAATTTCTAGCCAAATCAAATCAAACTTTACTAATGCTTTTTCTCATTCATTGTTTCAGCCAGCCAAGCCAGGGACTTGTTGTCAAAGATGCTAGTGATTGATCCTGCAAAAAGGATATCAGTGGATGACGCCTTGCAGCATCCCTACATCAATGTCTGGTACGACCCTGCTGAAGTGGAGGCGGTAAGGCAGAAGCCTATTTTGCTTTCCTTTCACAAACAAACCTTAGTACCTAGGTGCTCAGTGGTGAACACGGAAAGATAATTAGACCCCCAAAGATAAAAATGATTACCTGGCACTCTAAAAGTTATTTCCTTCTGCCACACATTCTAAGTGTATTTCTTTTTCGGGCATTTCTATGAAAGGGGGTGGTTTGACCCAACCATCTTTGCTATTTAGTAAACACTTTTCTTTGTTTTTGTTAAACTGTTAACTGAGTGTCATTTTCTATATGATTAACCATTATTCTTTCCTGGTGCAAACTTAATGGCAGAGACATCAAAGGATAATTTGCTTTACTTCTCTTTCCTTGATAAGAAAGCCACCATCCATTTTTGCAGGAAACCTTGCATGAAGTAGAGAAGAAACAGTGGGCATTCTATTAAGGGCATTATTTCCAGTTGATTCTAGACTGACTACCAAAAGAAGATGTAGCTTCATATTTTAAACTCATATTATTTAAGACTATTTCTGTAAGCATAACTGTCTTTGATTTTATTTTCTTTTTTCCACTTCTTTAATTGTTCAACAGCTTACTCTCTTCTCTCCAGTATTTTACTTACAGCTTTGCCCCTGTCGTCTTATATGTGTGAAACTAAGGTTGAGTAAGGCAAACTGATTGTGGGGATATCTGTGTATGTTCTATACACTTTCTGATGGGAATTTTCTTTTGGTGCCTTTCTTAAATAGTAGTGTCAGCAATATTACCTTCTCCCATAAATGTCAAAACCTCCTCAAAATATTAGAATGGCCACTAACTTTCTTCATTTTATTTTACACAAAAAAAATTTTAATTTTCTTTTAAAACATTGGCATGTATTCTTGTTCCTAAACTAATATTTGAAATACTTTTTGTTTACTAACTTGTTGAATTTTTTTATAGTCTTTTCTGCCCCCAATATATTCATGTTCAAAGATGCTTTGGTTCAAGTTTCCTTCCTCCACTAAATTGTGTTTTTCTGCATATGTAAGAGATGATAAATTGAAGTGTGTACAATTTCTTATTCCTGAAATATGGTAGCGAGGACTTAGTCAAATTACAATTTATAGGCATGATATTAAAACAAGCTACTTTTCAAAATGCAACCCAAACCATGGTTTTGTTTTTGTTAGGTACCATTGAGTCAGTTCCTACTCATAGTGACCCTGTATATGGTTACCGAGGTTTTAAATGTTTGAGGGAGAAGAAAGCATCATATATGTATGAATTATTGGGAAAAAAAATACTTCAGTGATAAATGAGTCTCCCATTTTTACAGAGATGTAACTGTCCTTGATGACATTTTTTTTTTTTTTAGATTCACTTTCAAGAAGGTTTACAATGATGTCAAAAGTTCAATTTGTTATGAATTACTTTTTAGTCACTTGATTTGATTCTTATAAAAATATAATCCTTAAAATTAAATATTTCTCACTTAAAATTTTTAAAAACTTTTTATTGTGAATTGAGTGAAGGTTTACAGAAAAGACCATCAGTTTCACATTCAACAAACCATATACTGTGTTTCATCTCAGTGGTCACAATCCCCTCCCTGCAACTATAATGATCCCACTTCCTCCCTGTGGTTCCTATACCCATTCCACCAACCTTTCCATCTCTTCTCATCTTTGTCCTTAGGTAAACGTTGTCTTTTTACTTTGAATGATTGGCCATTCTGTGGTGAGCATACTTTACTAGCGTTGTTATCCTCCCTATATATCTCATTGTAATTTTAATATTCTTAAAACTACTATGTTTGTACAACTAAAATATAGAATTCATTTCAGCTTCTAACTCTTGGCAAATATTTCAAAGACGTTCTTGGTAAATTAACTTAGAGTAGAATATAAAACTAAAAGACAGAGTAACTTTGCATATGCATATGAAAATTAAGTGTAAGAATTGCTTTTCCTTGATTAAATCCAAGATAATATTTTAGGTTGTGTTTGTAAAAAAATTTTAGACAAACAAATTATTTGAAGTTGCTACTGCTCATTTACTTTGATAGTTTAAATCATGGTGCATATTTATTTTCCCTTACATCCAATTTAATGTGTGTAATCACTTCTTAATGGATTGTGGCCTAGAGTTTAATTGGAGTCATAAAGTCTACATTTGTAATTCACTTGTAATTATGTTGCTTATAAAAGAGACAATTGCTTACAATCTATAACAACATATTAATGAATAGTAATTTTTTAAATGTATCTTAACTTTTTATGAAAAAGTACCTTTGAAAGATAAAAAGATACAATTTAGGGTAAAGCTTCTTTCTCAACTATTTCAATATTGTCATGCTTGGGCCTGCATAACAAGACAGGACATGTGACTTAGAGAAAGTTCTGATTATAAAACGTAAAGGTCTAGGAAAATTAATAGTTAGTACTTCAAAGAACAAGATTATATTTGCCATGTAGACTGAGACCGTAGATTATATGAATGTGAAAATGTTTTAGGTGTTGTAGTGAACAGGTTTGAAAGCCTCATCTTTCTCCCACAGAACAGCTGGTAGTTTTGAACTGTTGACCTTGAGGTTCACAGCCCAATTCGTAACCACTATGCTATCAGAGCTCCTGATCTAAGGTTTAGAACAGTTAATTACTCTGTAGTTGTATTACAGAGCTAACAACTATATAGAGACAGATCCGGAATGTGCTGGAAGGAGTCAGCTTTACTCCTACTTTTTGTTGTTGTTAAGTGCACTCGAGTCGGTTCTGACTTACAGTGACCCTCTATAGAGTTATCAAGGCTTTAAATCTTTGAGAGAGCATATGTCAATCTTTAGAATAACTTTAAAATAAATGTCTTAGTTATTGTGTGTGAATATGTGAAGTTTAATGACCCTTTAAGTGAAGTGACCTTTCTTTATAGACATGTGGCAAAGCTATAATGGAATAATGTGTCTTCTGCTAGGGCTAACATGATTTTCTTGCAAAATAAACTCCTGTGTGTCTCTAGAAAACAAATACACGGAAGCACCAAATAACAGAGGAGTAGCTGGCAGGGATGTGGGGAGAGACAAAGAGAGACAGAGACAGAGAGACAGTGAGAAACAAAGAGGTGCTCATCATCCAAGCTTAAAACAGCAAAAGTGAAAGGAAACATCAGGAATAAGCCAATTAAATGGGGCCAGTGAAGACTCTTGTATATTTATTCAATTCTTGACACAAAGTCAGGCTCAGGACCTTGATTAGAACCATTCCCGTAGTGGAACTGGTCCTGGGGCCAGGTTTCATGGTCTGTTGCAGTTATAATTCAAACATTGTAGAGTCCTGTGTGGCGCTGTGGGTTAATGCGCAGGACTGCAAAGTCGGTGGTTCAAGCTCACCAGCTGCTCCTCAGAAACCCTATACAGCATTGCTATGGGTCGGAACCGACTTGACGGCACTAACAACAAACAAAAATTGTGTCGAAGGGTCATTTTCAGAGAGGTCTAGATACACTGTGGTGGTGGATCCTCAGGGATTTAAAACATTCTGGAATCTGGTGGAGGGGCAGGGATCTAGTATCTGAAAAGTCTAATCCTCTGTGTCCTAGCTGCGGGTACTTGAGACCAGAGAAGCATTGACTTGTAACCTAGGATTGTCTGGCGCCTGAATCAATGTTATGAAGAGAATGCAAGGACTGAGACTTGAAACACAGAGCTTTCGCTGTTGTGTGTGGACTGAACAGAGAGCTTAGAAATGTTTTGCTCTTAGTTTCAGAGTTATTTTTGAGACTAAGTGGAAAGGGTAATTAGGGTAGCAGAACCAGTGTTGAGCTTGCTTTATTTCTTACTTAATCATGATTAATTTGGGGATTGCGATAGGGCTGGGTGGGCATTTAAACTACCTATATAGGTTCTGAATTATGTAACCTGATCTGGACATTCCCACTGAGAGTAAAACCTACATGCATTAGTGTTGCAGTTCAAAACTTGAGAATGTACTCCAGTTTGTTTGGTCTGAGCAGTCCTGAAGGAGAACTAACACAGGCAAGTGGGCAAAGAAAGCAGCTTAGACCAGCTGGACAGTCAGAAGAAATAGTTAATCAAGATCATAGGTCTGAGCAGATAGGATTTGAAGAGCATTTAAATAGTGCTCAAGCTGTGGATGTTTTCACATAGCAGTAGAAAAGTCAATAGCAGATATCGTTGGATTAATCCAGAGAACAAGAGTTGTTGTTAAGTGCCATCGAGTCGGTTTGGACCCATAGCGACCCTGTACAGGGTTTCCGAGGGTGTAAATCTTTATGGAAGTAGAAAGCCTCATCTTTCTCCCGCGGAGCGGCTGGTAGTTTCGAACCGCTGACCTTAAGGTTAGCAGCCCGATTTGTAACCACTATGCTACCAGAGCTCCTTTTTGAGAACAGGAGTAGGACTCCACAATTCCACCTGTCAACTGGGAGCTGGTGTCAAGGCACAGAGAGAAGTTATAGTTGCTTCTAGAGAGAGTGGTGGGAAGAGACAGCCTGGCTTCTCCACTTCCCACTTCTATTTTCTGTTAGTGCTTCTGTCTTGTTGCTCAGCCCAGAAGACCATCTAGGAGACAAACCAGCAAGCCTGTAAGAGTCAGTTACCTGATACACAGAGCTGACAACAGAAGCACCAGGACTGCATCTGTGAGCAAACAGGTACAGAGCTGGTATTCCACTCATTCATGCTTCCCTCAGTTGCAGCTATGAAATCCCTCACTCAATAAAAATCAAATAACCAAGGATTTGGACACTCCTAGGGAGGAGTCCTGGTGTGGCACTGTGGGCTAATGCTCTGGACTGCAAAGTCGTTTGAACCACAAGGTGGGTGGTTCAAGCTCACCAGCCACTCCTTGGAAATCCTATACAGGGTCACTATGCACCCAATAGATGCCACTTAACAACAACAACCTAGAGAGGGGAAAGTCTTTAGAGGTTGGAAGAGATACAAAGGCTTAGCAACCTAATAATGAGTTAATTGGTGCAAATAATTTGTGATTTCTTGTCATTTTTTTTTAAGTGCCATCAAGTA